AAGCTTAGAGCAGCCTCGGTGCTCATCTGCTACCTTAACTGGGCCCTCAGACCCACACTCAGCTCCAAATTCTCAATTACCTTGGCACAGGATACCTTTCATCTCATGTCTGCTGGGCACTGATCAGTGTCCTCCACAGGCTCTGGACACCCCACCCCCCCACCCCCAGATACCTCTTCTCTCCTCAACACATATATTCTCTGAAAAAGATCAAACACTCCCCCTCTGCCCAAAATGGTACCTTGAATATTTGCATGACAGGAAATATTTTCTCAACAAAAAGAATGGGCCGCTAATGGTAGGTAATCTGGCACTCCGTCTGTGATTCTGTCAGTGGCCTCCCCAACCCCTCCCCCCAGGGCACCGCCCCAGATGCACTGTCCCCTGTGCCCTGGAAAAGGGGCCATGAACAATGGCTCCGAAGTCCAGAAACTGGGGTATCCCCTCCTCCAGCCCCGCAGTGCACCTCTGCAGGCATAGCCCCTACATCTTCCAAGTGCATCAACTGAAAGACCATTGGAACTAACAGAAACGATCAAGAAGGGGGTTGAAGAAAATCAGTGTGCCCACATCAGTGGTGTCCTGCCACACTATGTCAGCAAGAACAGGATGTTGCAGAGGACAGCTCCAAGCAAGAGTTCCGTTGACCTTTAGTGACTTGTATGTGACACACCGAGGCTCCTACCAACGGGGAACATGCTGCTAGACTGGCCAGATCACTGGTGCAAGGGGGCGAGGGGGGAATAAAATATTTATCACTTTCCCCCTCAGAGGGAAAAAACTCCTGGGAGCAATGACACCAGTACAGAGTGGGGTTAATGTCCACATAGTTACTGTTATTAGGAACTCATTATGAAACCCCTACTGTAAGCACAAAATACAGATCTTGAAAGATTAAATAAGTGATGTAAACAAAAGCAATCTAAAATTCCTGATCATACCACCAAAATCGGGAGAAGAATATAAAGTTGCCCTTATGTTTCTCGTGTCCAGGAGATAATGTTGTATTCCTGATAGAGAGAGAAAATGGGCTCAAGTACATTTTTTAAATAGGTTGTAAACAAAGCAAAACAAAATGAGCAAAAGAGCAGTAGACACATAGACACAGAGAAGTGACTGGTGGTTACCATGGGGGAGTGGTTGGGGTGGGTGGGGAGGGCGAGGGGAATAAAGGAGCACAAAAATTCTCAATCATAATGTACGTTGGTCACAGGGATGGCAGTTCAGCATGGAGAATATAGCCAGTGATTCTGTAACATCTTTCTGTGTTGACAGATAGTAACTGCACTACTGGGGGTGAGGATTTAATAATATGGGGAACTGTTGAACCACTGGATTGTATATTTGAAACTAATATAAGATTATATGTCAATGATACTTCAACTTACAAAGTGAGAAAAAAATTGGTTTTAAAGTAGCATGTGCTATTTAATAAACATTGTCCAACAGATTCTCCTAAGATAAATTGTTATCAAAAGGCTGGGGTGGAGGGAGGAATGAAGAGGCAAATATACACTAAGCAGATGCAAAGACCAAAAAAGAAGCATTGGTCAAACCTAAAATCCAAGTCAAAATCCTAAAATAAGAAATGAAAATGAGTGAGTTATGAGTTAGAGGTGATATTGAGAAAGAATTGCCATTACTTATATATTATAGATTGTATTTTGGCTTCTACAGCATGTCCCAGACCACGACTATAATAGTGGTCTTTTTATATTCCTACTGAAGACTTTTGAGGTTAAGGAGAGGGGTCACACTGCATAGGACACAACCTTTCATTCAAAAAAGAAATCTTCTAATACCTGCCCCTTCAGTCAAGCTCATGACCCCAACCATATTCCCAGGCCTTGTTCCAGAAGATGGGATAGAAACCATGCAGCAATGTTAATGGTCTCAGGGTGTTTTCAGATGAATGGAGGGACAGACCATAAACGAGCAAACAGATGCATTAGAAAAAAGAAGGCGGGGGCAAATCCATAAAGACAGAAAGCCGATCAGTATTGCCAAAGGCTGCAGGGAAAAGGGGATGGGAGAGACTGCTTAATGGGTAAGGGGTTTCCTTTTGGGGTGATGAAAATGTTTTGGAACTAGAATGTCTTCTAGTTGCAAAACATTTTGAATGAATGAACTGTACACTTTAAAATGGTTACAAACGTAAATTTTATGTTGTATTTTACCAAAAAAAAAAAAAATACTTTCAGATGTGGGGAGTAACATGTGCCCAACCATGACTATCATATTCACCCCAGCTTATTTCTGTATGGGCCCCAAATGTGTCTCCCAGGATCAATAAAGCCCCTGGGGATCTGTAAACTAGAGAGATCCATATCACCAGTGTCTACAGGCACAACTGGACAGCAGAGAAGTTCTGAGGAGAGGGCATCCCAGGCCCTAAGGTCAGTGAGGTCAGGCCTGTTAGGAGCTGGGAAACGTCCTCGGAAAAGAGAGGGTAGAAGGGAGGCCTTAAGGGATAGACAGGACTTGGGGCGGTAGGCAGGAGGAGGTAGTCATTCCAGGCTGACCAGGACTGAGTAAGTTGTGCTTAGGGATCCCCAGGGGCGGCACACACCTCGGCTGGCCAGGTACAACTGATGCTTCCTTCAGAACAGATTGGGGACAGGGGGAATGCAAAACCTGGGAAGGGGATGCATGAAAAGGGAGAGAAAAGGTGGAGCCTGTCCCCACGCACTCTTGCCCTGAGCCACCTTATAGCGGCTTTGCACCAAGCCTTGCTCCTGGCACTCCAGGAGCTGTGTTCCCTGTGATTTACCTACCCATGGTCTCAAAAGCCAGAACTCTGTGCAGTTCACCCAAGTCAGCCCTTTGTAATGTTGGATAAGGGAAAGAATGAGTGAATAAATAAACAAATGAATGTATGCACATTTCATCTGTTGAAGTTCAAGTTCAGAAGTTAATGATGGAAAAACATCAGTCACCAAAGCCAAGGTCAAAGCAAAAACAGGATGAGTGTCCACACTCCACTGCTGAGCATCTAGGTGGTTTTGAATGGAGTGTGTCCCTTCTGTAAGGCGTAGCTTCCTCATCTGAAATGGGTTGGCAGGGCTACGGGAACATTCAGGGAGGACCGGCATCTGGTGAATGCAAAGCTCACAGACAAGGTGGGGCTGGTTGCAACCCTTCATCACTATCCAAGGACAGGAAGCAGGACTGTGCATCCCGGACCCCACACAAGAAGCTCTGCAGCCTTCTGGGGCACAGCCAGCCCCCCAGGGCTTCCCTGCGGTCTGAGGCAAAGAGCGGAGCTCCAAACGGGATCCTGACCTGGAATACACACATTCCTCAGTGTGTTTCCACTGTTACATTCTTTATAAATCAGAAAATTAATTACCCAGAAAAGAGTCTTCTGCAACCAGAAACCCGAACGACTTTAATGTATAATTTATACATGAAAATGTAGATGTCAATGTCCGACAAATCACTGTAAAAATATTTTTGCAGTCAAATTTTTAGGCATCTGTCTTCCTCCCTGAAGAGCCACTGCACAGATGATGTGAGGCCACGGGACTCAGACCGGGTGGGGCTGGAAAGGCAGCCTGTCATTTTTACCAGTGACACAGCTGCCAGTGCAGCCAGCATGGAAGGCCAGCCCTGGCAAAGCCACACACAGCCAAGGCACAGCTCTCTATGCTTGCAGTCCTGCTGTGTCTCATTCAGAACAGGGATTTAACACTAGGTGCCAGCTCTGTGCTAGACCCAAGGATGGAAAACAGAATGGAAAATGGTCTCCTACTCCAGTGGCTTGCCGTCCCCTGGGAGAGCCAGGCAAGCAGATGATGGATGGCAATGACAGTGTGGCAACAGTTAGGGTAGGGATGGGTCCTACATGCCAAGCAGCTGCAGAGGAGCAAGTACTTCCCTGTTTCAAGTGCATCCCCCAAAGACCTCAGGGGTGGGGGCTAGTCCTGAGGCATTTGTGAGGCGGGTGAAGGCAGGGGACATTCCCAACAGGAAGGGCTTGGTGTGCAGCACAGATGCTAGAGCAAGCCTGTCCAGATGGGTGTGAGTGGAGCCCATGGCGTGTGCCAGGGACCATCCAGCAGGGAGCCTGAAGTGGAGAGCAGGAGCTAGGCCACCAAGAAGCCTGCATGCCTAGTCCAGAAATAGGACTTTGTGCTGATTACAAACTTTAAACACATCAAGTCTACACTTTACTCTGATGAACAGTATGAAGGCCAAAAGAAGGGTTGTTGTGGAAAGTGAAGGAGAGCTTGCAAACTGTAGGGTGTGGTGTCCACATAAAGTACTGTTCCCAGCAGCAGCTTGAGTCTGGCACCGAGCCTTGGCAGCCGGACTGCTTGGGTGTGCCTGCATTGACGGGTACACCAGTGCACGGGCTTGATGGGCACATGATGGCACATCACCCAACTGAAACGTAGGCTGGGCCCTTGCTTCCTGTCTGCAGTTAACACTGCCATTTGGGGCTGGTCACTCACTGTGCAAGGCATGCCCTGCCACCTGCTGTCCAGATGCCCAGTGGAGATCCAGGCACCCACACATGAGGGTAGGGATACAGGGCACAATGCTTGGCGCTGGCCCTGACTGAGAAGCACCCCACCACACACACAAAGGAAGGAGGACCTGCATGTCTTCATTGCACAGGGCCCTCTGACCCAGAGCCACTGGTGAGGTTCAAGAACATGCCATCTCCCTTACCAGGCAATCACAACCTGTGTCTGAACACAATGTGAGATCCCAATGGTGTGTTTTCAGAACTTGGGCCTCCCACAAGACAAAGCTAGTCTCCATTCTCCAACCCCATCATGGTCCCTGGGTAGCCCCCTCTGCAGCCTTAGAGCCCTACAGACCTGGTCAGAAGATAGAGGCCCAGGCTAATGGTACCTGATGCTCCCAGAACAAGTTTCAAGTCCCCAGCCGCCATTACACAAGTGCCCATTTTAAAGAACATAGACTGACATCAGTAACTTTTCCACCTCCTGGGAAGCTAGTGGTCGGCCTCTCATTGACTCCTGGCCACATACCTTGCTTGACTTTCGGAGGTTTGAAGCCCTCTGCCTGGGCCAGGGCCTCCCAAGCTTCACGCTCCCTCCAGCGCCTCAGCTGCTCCTCCCGCATCTTGTAAAAGAGGATGTGCTTCTGCACATCACTGAGCTCTGCAAGGAGCTCAGGGTCAATGTACATGTCACGCAGGATCTGCTGCAGCATGATGCCACCTGGGACGTACACACCAGAAGGGCAGCCAGTCAGGGAAGCCCGGCCAGGGGCACACCTCAGGCTGCTCCCCACGCTGGGCTCCTCACTCCAAGGCCGCTCCTGGTACCTCTTCCCTGTGCAGCATCATCACTCCGCACCAGCTCCCAGCCAGCAACAGACTCACCTCCTATGCCCAGGACAGCAGGAGGACCAGGCAGCAGAAAGCAAAGGGGCAGCTGGGCCTCCGAAAAGGAGAGCAAGCCCCAGGAGCAGTCTAGTCCTGCTGTTCGGCCACCAAGCACCACATCTCAGCGGTGCCTGTGTCTGTGCCTCCCCTGGGGTTCTGGGATGACGAGGAGGGTCAAAGCCTCCAGCTCCGAAGGGCAATGCCCAGGCCCAGCCCCACCTGGGCAGGCAGGTGTCAAGTGATCTGTTAATGGAAGGTAACAATGACACCAGCTGTATCAATGACACTGCCCTGGCCAGCCAGGAACCGATCTCTCCTCCACAGCCAGGAACCGATCTCTCCTCCACAGCCAGGAACCGATCTCTCCTCCACAGGTAAGAGGAGGAGGAGGAGGCAGTTTTGCCTACTAATTCCATGCCTTTTGAGCCAATTTCAAACTGGCCGGAGGAGCCAGCCAGGAGCTTCTAGGCTCCGCAGCCTCTCCCTCCACTTGCTCCATATGGCCAGTGTTCTTTTCCAGAACACTTGGTTCCTAAAGTCGTGCTTTTTAAACTCTGCTTGGGGGGAGGAAAGAGCTGTCCTTCTGTCTGTGCTATGGCCAAGCAAGAAGACAAAATGGATTAAGCAGAATTACTGAAGAGGCTTTGTCATGGAATTCAAGGACAGGAAGAAGGCAGACAGTGCCCACCCCTCTCCCTATAATGAGGCTCTAAAGCTATGCATGTGCTGACAGATTAACCCTCCTGGGGTCAATTTTGTTTGCTCTTGTCCATCTTTTTGTTTTTTGTTGCAGATCCACCAAAAAGAACAAGATGGTCTTCTCTGTGCCCGGAATCTGAAGCACCTGGTGCTTTCAGATGCATAGGAGCCGAATGGGTGCACAGAGCTACTTGCAGCTCAGCTTGTACTGGGACAAGGAAATTGGGGTCCAGGGAAGGTAAGTGACTTGCCTATGGCTGTCCAATTGATAAGCTGCTGATCTGGGACTCAATGCAATTTTCAAATTTGACATCCACTGGCAACTAAGAGTCTTTTGATGGTTTGAAAATGTAACCCAATCAGGAGGAAAAATAAACAAACAGGGTTAGACATTGTGGCCTGGTTGGGCTGGTGCTCCTCATGTCCCCTTCCCGCCCCAGGCGGACCAGGTGGGTCAGGCACAGAAGTCCAATGGAGCATAGGTGTGAGTGGGCACCTCCTCCCCCTGCAAGGAAAATGTGCAACAGGAGGAAGTATTAAGTAAACTCAGATGAGCTTGAAGTCCTCAGGGTCAAAAAGAGGTGTGGAGGGCCGGGCTGTTACCCGCCACCCCGCCTCTGCCCAGTCTAGCTGGCTTGTCCCGGTGTGCCCCAGACCTTGGAGCCTCCACGCAGAGACTCCCGCCGCTCAGAGTTGTGGATTCTCTGCCCTCCCCACCTCAGACCTTTCAGCGACGCCACCCCACCTGGAGTCCCCGCCCCTTTGTTTCTTAGTGGAAGGCCTTCTGCAGCCTCTTCTTGCCTCAGGCACAGCTCTGATTTTTCAGGCTCTAACCGATGGGTGGAAGTCCAGAGTTCAAACAGGTGCAAGGTGCAAGGGCGGGAAGGGGCGACGGGAGTCTAGCCTCGGCTGGCAGAAGCGCCCTTCTTTCTTTCTGGGTCTCCCAGGCTTCTGCAGTAAGACGAGGGCACAGAGCAGCACCATCCGGAGCAGCAGGAATGGGCAGGCTGCACGTGGCCGTGAGGTCCAGTCCCCTAGCAGAGCGGTGAGGACACTGTCGGCAGACGGTGGGTGGCGGCAGGAAAAGAACGACCCCATCTGGTACCCCGTTTGGTGCTCCGGGGGATGACGGCGCTCCCGCGCAATCCCAGGTCAGTGGGGCAGGAGGCCAAGCCGCGGAGCGCAGCCTGAACGCGGGCTGGGTCCGGTTCTGGAAAGGCGCGCTGGAGGCGGCACGGGGTGGCGGGGACTGCAGTAGCTGCTCGGCCGCTCGGCGCCACCTCCGTCTGCGGTCAGCCCTTCCCGCTCGGCACGGTGTGGAGCGCCCCCTGGCGGCCTGTCCAGGAGCCGCGAGGCGTGGAAGAGCCTGCGTGGTTGGGAAACCAGGGGGACCCCGCGCGAGGTCGGCCACCGCGGCTGTGCGCGCCTGTACACGCTTGTGTCTGGGTGGAGGGGTCCCCTTCCTCGCCTCCCGTATGGTGCGACGGGGACACGGCGGCGGTTAATACCCGGGACGCCAGGGGCAAGGGCCACGCATACAGGTGAGCCCGCGGCGGTTCCGACTGAGAGAAGTACCCACTGAAAACCAAGCGAAGGAGCCCTTGAGTATTCAAACACGGTTTTCTGCCACCTTTCTAGTGATTTTATTTTGTTTTCATTTTTCATTGGCCTGTGTGCTGTTTAATTTTGCTTGCCAACGCAATTCTTTCTGGGGCTGGAGGGACACGCCAGGCAATGTGCAAGTGACTGGAAACCACCTGAATGCCCCTTTGTGGTGTAGGGAACCGCCCAGTGAGAAACACTACACCTGTCACAAAGAGTAGGGTAGATCTGGCTGCTTTGGTGAGGGAAAATTTCTGTGACAGATAAAATGAAAAGCGACATGCAGAATATTGTGCACAGTACAATCCAATTTGTAAACTCTTACTACTTTGTGTAGACAAAGGAAAAAATATGGAAGAACACACACAGGTTTTATGCTTTCTTCTTAGGAGAGGAGCACTTTATAGACATTTCCCTATTTTTTCATACAGTAAGAGAAATAATTCATGTGACTGAAACAAATTGTATTTCCAAAGTCCTTAAACATGATTCCAAAAATGTTGGCCCCTGGAGGTCAGTGCTAGTAGGGCAGGGACCCGCAGGCACAGCCTCATCTGCTCAGGCACCACCCAGAGAGGGATGGGCAGGCAAAGCCACACCTTCCTAGCCTGCAAGGCTAGAAAGTGGGGAATGGATAAACTGTTCATGACCCAGAGGTTCCTATGCTGGAGAAGGGCTTGGAAGCATTTCTCCAGCACGGATGTGGATGTGTAGAGGAGACTGGAAGAGCAGGAGGCAGGGAGAATAACCAGCATGCTTTGGCCAAAGTCTAGGAGAGGGGTGACAAGGACTGTACAGGAGTTGCCAGTGGGGACCAAGAAGGGCAGAATTGGGAGATTTCTTATCCCAGAGCCTCCTATCAGTATTTCTGCTTCCATCTAAAAACCTTTTAAAACTTAGGTTATGTCATTCTGTGCTCAAAACCTTGCAATGGCTCGCGTTTTATTCAGAGGCAAAGACCACAAGGCCCTCCACCATCCGTCTCACTGCCCAGCCCCTCAGATAGCCCCTCCCCACTCCCTCCATCCTGCCCCAGGCTGCTGGCCCACTGGGCTTTCAGCAAACACCCCAGACTAGTTCCCGCCCCAAGGCCTTACCCTGGCTGTTCCCTCTGTGGAAACCATATGTCTCAATCACCTCCTTCAAGTCTTTGCTCAAACTTTTAACTCCTCTATACTCCTGACCCCCACCCCCACCTGGCCATTCTGCTCAATTTTTCCCTTATCACTTACCTTGTAAATTACATTCTACTTACTTGTGTTTTTGTATCTCTCTCCCTGATAAAAAGCACCACCAAGCAGGTACTTCACTTAGTCCTCAGTACCTAGAACACTGCTTGGCATGCCAATAAAAATCTATTGGAAAAGAGAATGAATTAACTTTGGGGATGGAATATAGAACCTGCGTAAATGCTGGGGAAGCATCCAGAATAGGATACTAGAGCAAGGTTGCTGGAGACTTGGACTTGGCTGTCATGGGCAGATAGGCTAAATCTGTGGGGAATTAGGTGGACTGATGGCCCAGCCATGGGTGGCCTGCCCTGGCTCTCCCTGCATGCCTAACCGCATGGCTCCCTCCAAAGCAGGATCGTGTGATGGCCACAAAATGCCACCATTGTGGTGTTGGGAAAGCCCGGGCACAGCCACCCTGTAAGGATCAGCTGAGAGAAGCTGAGGTCCGTGGTCTTCTAGAAACCTTACTGGGTTTGGATATGCATATTTGGGAGGCCTTGCTGGGGTGAGCTGAGTTACTCTATGTAACAGGCTAGAAATCAGGGTTCCTGAGTGGCAGACGGTAGGGGAAGGGGAGAGGGAGATGGCCACAACTTGAGGACATGGACCATACTGCCCCAAATCTCCATCAAAATGATTTAACTCACAAAACACTTGAGATTTCTTATTTAGGGGGAAAAAAAGCTACAAAACCTCAATTACAAATTAGTCACGGGAATAGAGAATACAATTAACAACACTGTAAGATCTTTGTATGTTGACAGGTAGTAATTACACTTTTTGGGGTGAGCATTTAATAATGTAGACAACGGTCAAATCGCTATGTTGTATATTNACCACACTGCCCCAAATCTCCATCAAAATGATTTAACTCACAAAACACTTGAGATTTCTTATTTAGGGGGAAAAAAAGCTACAAAACCTCAATTACAAATTAGTCACGGGAATAGAGAATACAATTAACAACACTGTAAGATCTTTGTATGTTGACAGGTAGTAATTACACTTTTTGGGGTGAGCATTTAATAATGTAGACAACGGTCAAATCGCTATGTTGTATATTCAAAACCAATATTGTATATCAACTATACTTCAATTTTTTTTTAAAAAGTAAAGTTTATCCAGTTCAGCCGGGACAGAGGGACAAAACTGACCACTAAGGGAACATGGGCTGCTAGGAGCATGAGTCCCCAGAATTAGCAAAAGTCACAGGGAGGGATTGGCACTTTCCCCACCGTGGTATTGGTGGGATCCGAGTACCTCTAAAAGGCAAGGAAGCCCACGCTGACATTTGGAAGCAACAAGGTAACAGTCAGAAAACACATTGCTGATGATGGCAGCAGAGCCCGGGGTTGCAGCCAGCCAGGCCTGACCTTCCAGGTGATGCTTCTCATTTCCACATTGACTTTCCCCTCCTGTAGGTAGAAGCAATCTGGGCTCCACCCAAAGCTTCTGTCTGCAGTAAATGGATGAGGTAAGTCATGTCAGATTTGGCCAGGCACATTGTAGGAGACAACATGAGTTATTTTACCTGCTTCTTAATCTGGGACCTGGTTTCTCACTAACTTGGTGAATCAAAATATTTAGTGGGGGTCATGGGTTTTGGTAGGTAATTCTGTCTGTCCAGCAAGCTTCCCCAGATGCTTTCTGGTTTTAAGGAACAAGTCCTGAGTTCCAGACAGGCATGGGACTCAGGCTCTGAATGAATATACAAACACTGGAAGAAACTAGCCAATTTTCTACTACGGTCTCA